GGCAAGGCTGTGACAGTTACAATCTTGACTCCTAAAGGATGGGACATGCTGGGACTTTTAGTTCCTCAACAGTTGGAGGGCCGCAGTTTGACACCTGTGCATTAAAGAGTGTGTTTCACACTTTTTTCTTTTTTTTGTAAATATTGGTCTTTATTGAAAGAATTTTTTAAGGCATAGTACAGGAAAAAGCAAACATTACACATCAATGTCAATTGATTGCCAACAAAATGGATCCAACAATTGAGACATTAATACCTTTTAACTTAGAAAAAAAGAAAGAAAGAAGAAAAAAGGTAGACAGAAGTTTGGGGAGGAGATAAGTAACGGGGTGAGATAGAGGTAAGGGTAAGGCTTGTAGCATATATAGGAGAAAAAAAAAAAAAAAAAGAAACATTACCTACTACTTTTATCTAAAACTTTGCTTTAGAACAGTGTTTTCCAAACTGTGGCCCAGGGGCTGGATGTGGCCCTTTGCTTGCTTTCCTCCGGCCCTTGAGGCACTATTTCATCCACTAAAACACCAACAAAGGGAAACAATTCCTATCAATGATGGGGCATAGTTCATCTCAATGATACCAACAATGGGATCCAATGACACCAATGTTGGGGCACAATTCCTCCCAATAACACCATCATGATCCAGCGATGTGAATGACAGCCTTGGCTGTCCCGGGTCTCTGCCTCCTCATTGGCTGAGACAGCAATGGGGCATTGTTTACTCCACTGATGCCAGGACATCTTCTACTCCTGATGGCCATGGCCTGGCCCCGCTAAAGACTGAAGGACAGTAAATTGGCCAATGGTTTATAAAGTTTGGGGACCCCTGCTTTAGAACATTAACAGAATATTCAACCATGTTATCTACATGTATAAAAGGGGCAGCGTTATAAAAAAAACAGTGTTTCTACTATCTCTAAGCCAACAATTCCAATTCTGAAGGAATATATGGAGTCTGCCCTGAGTTTGGGCAAACAGGCACTCCGAGGAAGCATGATCATTCAAATGTTCAATAACCGAAAGAAGAGGTGGAGCTTGTAATTTCTTCTATGCTTTTGCCAGGCCACACTTTTTTTTTCTTTTGTCGTAAGGGTATCCTGTGAAAATAGGCAAATGCTTTGGGGCTGATTATGGAGTAATTTACAGTATCATTGTTACATTTTTATGAACTTGACTGGGTGTATGAAGTGAGCATGTAAGCAGGGGTTAGTATCTCTTTAAGAGCAGCCATGCCCCCAGGTGTGTAATGTGGGTTGGGCTGTCTCTTTCCCTTATGAATGTTGGGGCCAGGTGAGGTTATGTCAGAAGGTTGATGGGAATTGGTAACCTGTCAGGAGCTACTATGTGAGTTGTAGACCATCGCTGAAATATGCCCCTCTAGGATAGGCCTGAAACAGGAAAGGGAGGAGAGCCCATTGTAGAGAGAGAAAAGACAGGAGAGCCTAAACTGAACCCAGAATGTACAGTGATGCAGTTAATGGATGAAAAGGAGGAGGCTGTGTACAACCACCCTATTCCTGTTCACAAGAAAACATTCAAAAAGGCTGCTCATTTATTTGGAGAAGGGGGCCTCAGGCTGGGAGTGCATGAGTAAAAAAGATGGTGAAGTTTCTCCATACCACAGGTGTTTAGTATCCCATCTTGATCCAAGAGGGTGGTGGGAGGTGCCCTTGGCCAGCATGACCATTGCTGGTGGCTAATCAGGAACCTGATTACAGTCAGGGAAAATACACACGTAATGAAAATTCTGGTATTTTCTATCCTACAATTACTGTTGTTACATCAAACAAGAGAAATATGAACTTGAAAATAATAGCTGTCTTCAGACTTAAATTTAACAGGGAATTTTAAATAGCAAATTGCCAAAACCAATAGAGTTAAATAAATATAGAAGATAAATCCCTGTAAGAATTTTATTGCTAAGGCCTTAATGGATAGATTGATGGTTAGATTTTCCCTTATATCCTATCCTGATGACAATGTAGCCACCAGAAAGGGAGAGAGGGAAATTTTTAATGAGGGTTCTATCCTTCCCTTTGAAAGAAAAAGTATTTTTTAGTTATTGCTGCCTATGTCCCTTTTGGAGATTCCTTCTCAGTTCCTATTCTGGTGACAATGTGTGGGATGCCTTAGTACTTTGGTGTCACAAAAAGCTGAATGTCTAATAGAGCTACCTCCAGTAAACCCCCATCATCTGATGAGCCAATAGAGAAGGGCCATATAATGCCAAGGACCACAAATGGAATTGTATTTTTCAGAAGTACACATTGCTTCATGATTGATACATAAATTCTAAAAGAGGCGGTGTATTAACCCCCCTCCAGTATGGTGTGTCATGTTTTTTCTCCCAAATCTTTGTTTTTGGGACATTGCAAGACCATTCACAAAGTGTTGTGTGATCTCATGTATGCGCAGTGGGAATCTGGCTCCCATATCCAAGATGGCGGTGCTGGGGACCCACAGCAGTAAGAAGAACTGGCTGTGGGAAGACAACACTGGACCCCAGGCCTTTTTTTTTACTGTTAGTCACAATAAAATATAATGCTTTCAGTGACATACCAACTCAAAACAGAATATTCAAATGCTTTCTTATCAGTAATACCTTTGATTTCATGCTGAACTCTCCAGGCAGATGTAAAAGGCACACAATAATGCATCTCTTTATTTGTTAATACATTTTAAAGTACGTCACTCTCTCATTCAACATTAACTATTTTTAAACAAACCTTATACAGTGTAGCACTAATACAAAAAAAACAGTATCTTCAAAAAAACAATATAACATTTGTTATCAGGCATACCATCCAAAACTGTGCTGTATATTATCATACAAATATAAAGTGCAATTATATTATTATTATTATATTTGTATGATAATATACAGCACAGTTTTGGATGGCATGCCTGATAACAAATGTTATATTGTTTTTTTTTGAAGATATTTATTGGTATTATTTATAAGGGTTGAGAGATGTAAACATTTTTTGTTGTTGTGCTACACTTTATAAGGTTTGTTTGTATCTCTGATGTGGGAGCACCTTACAATGAACAGTGGCAACTAATTATTTATATCTCTTTTTATATACAGTTTTGTATTTTTCAGTATCAGATATAGGTTATATATATTTAGATTTTTTGTGGTTTCCTTTTTATTTCAATAACTATTTTTAATCCTTATGCTGCTAGCATTAGTAAATAAATTGGAAAGTATATCATATTTAATTCTTTTAAAGGGTTTTTTAAATTTATTTCTTTGGTCACTTCCTGGTTTCCAGGCCTAGGTAAACGATGTCATACATCGTAGGAGTCTTCAGGAGGAGAGCAGGGATTTTCTCAGCTAAGCACTCCCTCTTGCCTGCATGCCTGAGCTAAGGGCGGATGGATTAAAAAAAAGTTAATTATACATGAATCATCTGCCCCTACTCAAGAAATGCTAGTGGGTATTTTTTAAAGAGACATCTTATCGTTGTCTTATCTGCTGGCATCCACTCATGCGTCTTATTTTTGTATACGTTTGTACTCTAAAAAAGCTGTTTAAATAAAGAATGTTAAAAAAAAAGTGACATCTTAGCAAAATAAAGCGTGGAGACATTGATGAATGAGTGAGTTTACTTTGAAAATTAAAAATTGATTAAACAGCGTTTTTGGTTTGTGTTGCTCAAATGCAGTGTAGTTCCGTTTTTAATGTATTTACTGCAAGCAGTATAAGTACCTGAATTTTCCTTGTTAGGCTCTTGTATTCTACTGGACAGTAGAGCTCAGAGACAAGGAGGGAGAGGCAGCCAATAAGGTGTGCTGCAATGTAAAGAGCATACTGATAGAAGAGAGTGGAGTTTAGCTCAATAGTGTGCTGCTTCTCCTTTCACTGTCCATTCACAGGGTAGCAGGGGAGAGACCTGTAAATGATTGTGAAATTGCAGCAGACAAATCATGCTCCTGTCCTTCCAGGCAGTGCTGTGTAAATCTGAGAATGGAATAGGCAGAAAAACAAATCCTTTAGCAGGTTAAACAACTCCAGTATATATGCATTTTATCTTTGTAATGAGCCCTTTGCTTGAAGTTCAGCTTTAATCTGAAAAAACAAGGGTATTGGAAGTATCATGAAAGTTCTGTTTGGAGTTGAACAGTTGTCAGATAAGAATGTTATCTACTGTTAAGTGTACTGTCACATACATAAATGGTCATGCTATTCCATGTTAGACCAGGAGACCAAGGATACTGCATGGCACAAGAAAACAAGCTAACATTGTTTTGCTGTTCCAGAGCTGAAACTAATGATAACTTCATGTACTACCCGCCTGGAAAAGGCTGCATACTAGACAAGCCCAGACTGGCTGAATGTCACAGGCTCCATTCAGCAGGTGATGATTCGATCACGTTTATGGTTCCAGGTAAAAATCATGTAACTATACCACACAAGACATTCTCATCACATTCCTCTATCAGCATTCAGGATATACACAGAAAAACAAAAATTTCGGCAGTTAACCATTTCAAGACAACCATCTCAATAGCCTCCATGCATATTGGGCATTTGAACCACTTGCCCTCCAGAGGATTCACCCTCCTTCCTGATCAGGCGATTTTTTAAAGTATGGCGCTGCATTACTTTGAGAATTGTGAGGTCATGCAACGCTGTACATAAATGAAATTTATGTCCTTTTTTCCCCACAAATCGAGCTTTCTTTCAGTGGTATTTGATCACCTCTGCATTTTTTATTTTTTGAGCTATAAACAAAAAAAGACTGACAATTCTGCAAAAAAAAAAAAACCCCAATATTTTTTACTTTTTGCTATAAAACATATCCAGTAAAAATATGTAAAAAAATCTAATTTCATTATAAATTTAGGCCAAAACGTATTCTGCTCCATGTCTTTGCTAAAAAGAAAATCCCAATACATTTAAATTAATTGCTTTACGTGAAAGTTATAGCGTCTACAAATGGCGGTATATATATTGGATTTTTTATTTATTTATACTAGTAATGGCAGCGATCAGTGACTTATAGCGGGACTGCAGGACTGGGCGGGCATGACACTGGTCTGACTAACTACCATTAACATCCCCAGTGACACTAATACAGTAATCAGTGCTAATAAAAAGCACTGACACCGTACTAATGACACTGGGCAGGAAGGGGTTAACATCTGGGGCGATCAAAGGGTTAACTGTGTGCTGTTTAATATTATGTGCTGTGTGTGTTTTACTAGGGAAACATGCTGCTGTGTATTTCTCTGCTGTGTAGAGAAATACACAGCAGCATGTTACTGTTGACAGGAGAGAGACCTGTGTTGTTTACACACAGATCTCTCCCCTGTCAGTGTTACTTGGCGATCGTCGGGTGCTGGTGGGGAATCTCTGTCCGGGACCTGGTGATTGACATCTGTAGCCGCCAACACGCTGCCCTGCCCGGAAATGCAAATCACTTGTGTGTGTGTATGTATGTATATATATATATATATACATACATATATATATATATATATATACACACACACGTGATTTTGCTCAGCCCTGCTGCCCTGTAGCAGTATTTCTGCTATAGGGTAGTGGGGAAGCAGTTAAGCAGACTTATATTAGCCTATGTGCTGCTGTTTATCAACCACATAGTTTCAGGACGAAATGCACTAAAAACTAATTTAATTGCACACAAACACAATACCCAACTTTATGGTAAAGTTTAAAAGAGGCGGTTGTGTTGAATAAATAGATACCAAATATATCAAGACTCAAAATTGCTGTGAAACAGCAAAACACTATGGTACCTAAAATTTTTCATAGGTGACACTTTAAATATCTTTTCAGGTTATCATCTTAGCATTAACCATGAATTACAGTCCTAGGATTATTGCTGTTACTCCACTGTTCCCAGCAGTACTTTGCATGTGTGGTGCAACCGCTGTTTGCATAGACATATGGGACATGTGTTTGCATTTGCGTGCATGCACAGGGAAGATGGGGGTGGTTTTCATTTTTTTATTATTTATTTTATTAAAATGTATTTTTTCTCATTTAACTTTATTGCTATCAGAAGGGGGTTAAACAAGGAGTGATTCGTATAGGCTGGACCTTCTCACTACTGTAAAAGTGATCAGGCAGCCATGTGAGCCATGGTCTTGTGTTAACCTCTTCAATTGTTAAAGTAGATGAAAACCAACAAAAATGTCATACACTTTTAACCTGCTAGTGTATATTCAAAATTAATTTTCAGTTGAGAAGTTGCAAACAAACATCAAAAGACAATGCTGTCAAAGGTAACAGGTGCCAATAACGCAACAAGAGACTAGGAGAAATAAGTAATGGGCCGAAAGGCCTACAACTACAAAGACAGTACAAAGGCAGGTGGGTGTTACAACAATAACTTCCATTGTAACTATTGCATCTAGGACATGAGTGCATAATAGTGCAAAAAAGTGTTTAAGTACGAGGGATCAGCACGTCATGCATGATCAAAGCCACCTAAGACCCGAGGTGAGAGAGTGCTTCAGGTTTTATGTACAAGCCAGCAAAGGAGGGGGGCTCATGATGGACCAAAAAACAAACAATGACTGATAAAAAAGATGAATATAAAGAGAAAAAGAAGGGGGAAGAGTGGGGAAAAAGGGGGGAGGGGTAGAGGAATCCCGTGGGATACAACTGTAGGTCCACGGTAGAGAGTCACATCAACGTCATCACATAGAGAGCAAGGAGCGGTCCAGGTTCAAGTTGTTATGATGGGTCACACATGGTTTCAAACATGCAGAAATTGGGCATGCGTGTCATTCAGAATAGAGGTGAGCTTCTTGTGGATCATGGTCCCCATGAGTCAATGTTTAACCTCAGTTGGATGAAGAAATTGCTGGCACCAGCCCTTGGCTAGTATCTGGTGGGCCTCATGGGGACCATAATCCACGAGAAGCTCACTTCTATTCTGAATGACACACATGCCCAATTTCTGCAGGTTTAAAAACCATGGGTGGCCCATAAGGAAGACAAAGCCCACCCACTTCTGCTGGTGTTTAGTCAGAGTCATAATAGGCTTATGTAGCAAAGCTTGCCACAGATAATGCGCCAGAGATACATCCAGTATGGTTCTAATCAATGCGTATGTTTGGGTCCAAAAACGGATCGCTTTGGGGCAAGTCCATCTGATGTGAAGCAATATGCCCTGTTCTCTCCAACCCCGAAAGCACACTAAAGATGTGTTAAGGGCAAACCGAGCCAATCAATCAGGGAACATATACAATTTAAATGCATTCTCTTGAGCAAATATGTTTTGAGAGCACTTAGAGGAAGTCAGACAGATATTGTTCCAGGCTCAGAGTCTTACCCAGATCAGCCACCCACAAAAGTAATTTTCAATATTTATAAAATTGAAGCTTTCATTAAAATAATACCTGTTGAATCTGTCAAGATGGTCCTTGTAAAGGCGTTTCCTGTTGTATTGTAATAACAACCTGTCCCTCATTGGGCTCCTGTGTTGTTACCAGGGGCGGACTGACAACTCATGGGGCCCCTGGGCAATAGGGGACCATGGGGCCCCTGTATCCTTGCCCAAACTCAAAAAAGCCTACGAAAAAGGTACCAGGGGCATCTCATGGGGCCCCCTACTGACCCCAGGCCCTCGGGCAGTGCCCGAGTTTCCAAATGGTCAGTCCGCCCCTGGTTGTTACCCTATCATATTGACTTTCAATGGAGACTACATAAGACATTTGCAATAAAGGGACGAGCCACTGTGTCATCAACAACGGTCCATGCCTCAGAAAGTGTTAAAAGTCTGCAGTGCTGAGGATTAAAAGAAAACTTTCAGACCTTCATCTATCAACTCTGGGAGATTATCAACCTAATTGCAATCCTTGAAATCTTGTTTAATGTGGAAAAAATTTAAAATTATTAAAATAAAACTAGTTATATCCACGTATATTCTGTAAACCACCAACACAGCGTAAACCGAATATCATGAAAATATTTTTGTTTAGCTAAACATTTGTATGATTATAGCATAACACGTTTTGTAGGATGGTTTTGAAACAAGTACAGTTTTCTGAAGGTATGAATCCAAACAAAAGATTGTAACAGACACATAACAGATCTGGAATCTTAATGAGAAACAGCTGGAGGGATAAATGGTTTTAATGTTATTACAATATGTGATTCTGATGCTTGGTTCTTTGGTTTTGATGTTTTGCAACTTATTACATAATATATTTTGATTCTCTGACTATATTTATGTTACTTTCTTCAGAAAAGGAAGAGTTAAGGGATACCTAAACCCAGAACAAAAAATGTAATATATTGCCACTTACCAGTACTTAGATGTGGTAATTTTGTTTGTTCTGGCATTTTTTTTCTTTGTTGTGCAAAACGCACTGCAGTTGAGATCAGCAGCAAGTGTCAATGTGTATGTTAAGGACACAGACCACATGCAGTGCATTTGCATGCACCAGATCGCATGTTATAAACCTACCATGCGATCTGGTGGCAGTACTTTTCCAAAAGTAGCGCATGCACTAATTTTGGTGTGATTCAGTGTGTTTTAGGCCTATTCAAAATGAATGGGCTCAAATTGCACTGTACTGAATCATATCAGGAACATGCAGCCTGTTCACAATGTGAACCAAACCTAAGGATCAAAGAAGTCTTAAACCTTCAAGTGATACTAAAGGCTTAACTTTTTGTTTTCTAAAAATAACAAACAATTCTAAAAATAACAAATATGTCTACACTTACCTGCTCCCTGCAGTGATTTTGCACAGAGCAGCCAGGATCCTCCTATTCTTGGGTCCCCCCGCAGGCTCTTCTGGCCCCTACCTCCTGTCGGGTGCCCCCACAGCAAGCAGATTGCTATGGGGGCACCCGCTGCTCTGTGTGTCCTTTCACACAGGGAGCCATGCCTCGGCCCTGCGCCCTCTCTCTTCATTGGCTCATTGGCTGTGATTGACAGCAGCGGGAGCCAATGAAGAGAGGGAGTCTTGGGATAACTGAGACTCCAGTGCACATCGCTGGATCGATGGGGGGCTTAGGTGAGTATTAGGGGGGCTGCACAGAGAAGGTTTTTTTACCTGCAGGCATAGAATGGCTTCAGAGTTTACAACTACTTTCAGGTTATACTGGGGCCTACAGGAGATATGGACATTGGCAACAAAAAACTGTTAGCCAGCATAGGATAACCTCACCCATAATAAGCATGTCACAGTATTACCAAGAGCAATGACATAAACACAGAGGGGTGGGACCTGTGTCCCTCAACGGACTCCAAAAAAGGATTTCACAGTGAGTACAAAAATCCAGTATTCTTTCTCATCCATTGGATTACACAGGAAGTCTTAAACCTTCAGGACTTCCAAAAAAGTTCAACTGAGGGGTGGGCAAAACAATAAATAATCACTAACAGGCCCAAGAAATAAACTAGAAACCGCCTGCAGATCAAGAGCTGCCTGAAGGATCTTTCACCTGAAGCAGGAACATCTGCCTGGTAGATCGTAGAAAAACAAAAGCCCAGGTAATAGCCTTGCAAAATCTGAGAACGCTTCTAGATCTTGAAAGGCGAAGAAGAAAGCACATATTTTTAGAGTGCACCTTTATATAAAAAGATGGAACCAAATCCTAGAGACCAAAGGAACGATTTACTAAAATTGGAGAGTGCAGATCTGCAAAGAAACCAATCAGCTTCCAGGTTTTATTGTCAAAGCTTAATTGAACAAGCTGAAGTTAGAAGCTGATTGGCTACCATGCAGAGCCGCACCAGATTCTGAGTGTTCCAATTTTAGTAATTCTCCCCCATATGTTTTAATGGTGGTTTGTCTGAGCCACATAGAGATAGTGGTAGAGGAAAAAAAGCCACAACAACCTTGCTGGACAATGAAATCAGTAGAATCATTAACAGGAAAATCTTAATCAAGACCTAGGAATCCAACAGTATTTGAAACAAGACAGAGAGGGCAGAAACGTGGATCTTGATTGATTTATGAGTAGACATGTGCAGAATTAAACAATTTGTTTTGTTTTGTTTCAGATCGATTCGTTAGGTTACTAATTTTTGTTTCGTTGCATTCATACCAAAATTTGTATCATTTTTGTTTCTTTTCCTTTATTTGTTTTCGACCGGATTCAAATTTATTCCAATGGATTAGAAGTAATCAAATAAAATTTAAATTGAAAATAACAAATTGATCCAAATTCATTGTGAAGAATAGGTGGTTCTATACTATTCGAAATCTAAATTTCAGAAGATGGCTGCATTCATTCTATTCTGATCTATTCTTTTTTTTTTATTCTATTATATTCTTTTATTTTCTGTTCTATTCTGGTCTATTCTATTATGTTTTATTTTATTCTAATTTATTATATTTCTTTCTATTTTATTTTATTCTATTCTTTTTAAAATTTTAATTTCG